GAGGAATATATCTTAGTTAAGCCTTAATACTATGTATACGAATATCCTTTACGGGTAACCGCTGATCTTAAGCTTATAGACAGCGATCCCTATACTATTAATAGTCCTAGTAGCTTCCGAGAAGCTATTTAGTAATCGATTCGTCTTATCGACTAATAGTAATTAGAGTCTTTAAGTAAACTATTTACTTATAGCGGTATAATAATCGTAATTAGTATTAATAAAGGCGAGGATATACCGTTTATTTACTCTAACTACTATAAATACCGGGTTATTACTAGTATATACTCTAAACGCCTCTTACTCCCGCCGTATCGCGGCTATCGGCTTTAACGCCCGTTTTTATATTAAAGCTATTCTTTTTCCGAGTTATCCTTATTAGTCGACTCGTCCCCACTCTTATCGTGATCCTTCGCGCAGTTCTCCTTAACCTTCCAGACTATATCTTAGTTTTCTTTTAGCTTTTTATAGTTCCGCGCGATATACCCCTTCTTATTATAGTTATAGTATATCCGAGTCTCTTACTTCGCCTTTCCGTTATTAACACGGTTTACTCCGCCTATCTTCGTGTTATTATTAGTATCCTTCTTCGCGGTTACGTAGTCTTAAGCTTATTTATTATAGTTCCATTTAAACTAATAACCTTTAAGCTTCCCGGCGATCTTTTACACGCCGTTAACCTATATAGTATAATAGTTAGTAGGAATACGGGCGGAGATAAGTTTATCCTTAAGTCACGAGGTGATCGCTCCTTCAAAGAATAAGATCTATACGGTAGCTTCCTATTTAGTACCGCCCGTAAGGGTAATCTATCTTTTAAAGCGGGGTAGGAAAGCGGTAAACGACTTATCGGTTTATTAGCGAATTATATATAAGGCTTAGGTAGCCTGCGATTATTCTATAGGATTAAGGTAGATACGATTAAGGTACGCTATAAAGTCGTTAGGGTTTATAAGCTTACCCGGCCTATCGCTTTGATAGAAGGCTAATACGACCTGTTATACTTTAGGCCTTAGGTAATTATAGATTATATACTAAGCTTATATATTATTCTAAAATAGGTTACTATTAATTATAAGCTTCTGCCGTATTGCGTAGGCCTATATACTATAATATACTCGCTTCCCCGAGAACTTCGCCGGGCTATTAATAGTTTTACGGGGTACCGCTATTAAGGTCGGGGCGATTATTATTATTATCAGCTATAGCGCTAGCAATAGAACCGGTAATAGGGTAGACTCTACTAGTATAAGGATTATCGAGGTCTATAAAGGAGCCGGAATATTTAAGTTAGGCGGTATATGGTTCTACGGGGTAGGCGATCCTAGGAGCTAGGCTATAAGCTATTCGACTAACTAGCGTTATCGCTCGTTAGCTTCTTCTCTCGCGCGTTATCGGTCTATAAATTAGCGTATTTCCGAGTAATATTCTTATATCGGAGCGAGTCTTAAGTTAATATCGGTATATTATTTATAGAGAGGGCCTAGCCTTACGTTTAGGGCTCGGTTATTTTCTTTAAACCGTTAATTCGTCCACTCTATAACCTATTTAATTCTAATAGGTTATTAGGCGGTAGCTTTAGGATCCTGATCTATCGCTAGCGTAGCGTATAGGTATCGCTAAGTTCTAGATATATAAACGACTAGTTATAGGTCGTGGCACTATGTAAGGTCGTAATAATACATTATCTAGAACTAAGGAGGGAAAAAGGAAAAACGAGAAAAGTCTACGGCGTTAGGCTAGCTATAAGGTAGCGATAACTTAGCGATATAAGTCCGTTAACTAAGCGCGTAGTTAGGAAGATCCGGAGTATAGCCGGATCCTCTATATCGGGGTTAACCCGTAACAGGATCTAATAATTCAAAATAAGCAGTTGTATAAAGGGGGAGGTCCTTAGCTTATATATCCGTAAACGGCCGTGAATCTCTAGCCCTCTTCTACTTAATCTAACTAATCAGGTCTTCTAATTACTCCTCGGTCAATTAACAGAGGTCGTCCTTAAAGGCGTTAATATCGCCTTTAAAAAAGGCACGTTTATTAAAATCTATATCGCGCGTGCGAATAACGCGGTGGTAGCGCCGGCCTAGTACCTAGATATAGAAGATATTAGTGGAATCGTAGCCGATAAGGTAGCCGATACAGGCGCGGGGAGCGATACGGTTTAATAGTTTATTCACGCCCTTTTAGGCGTCTTTTATTATTGCGTACGCCTTATAGCCGTAAGCTCGAAGATATAATAAAATCGGCTTCCTTTTAAAGAGTACCTTATATAGCGTTTTCTAATTCTTATTATTATACTACCTTCGTGGCGTCCGGTTATAGACGTACGCTACCGTGGGAATAGCCTTAGGCTATATAAACGGCGGTAGTTTTACGTGGATATTTATCTTATAACCCTTCGAAATAACCACGGTAGCAGCGCGTTTAGCACCCCTATTCTATACTTAAGTATCGGTAGCAGATACCTCTAAAAGGATACCCTTATCACGCAGGAATTAGGTGATATCGTGGGATTAAGTTAGCTCGTTATTAGATTCGAAAACGCGCACCTTATAGCCTAATTAACGGTCTACCCAGGCAAGGAATTCCTTAATTATTACGAGGATATCCACTGCTAGCTTACTCTTTATAACGTAGGTAGCCGTAAAGCCACTATAACGGTCGGTGAAAAATATAAACCGCGAGTCCCCGTCGGACATTCTATTAAAATCCGTGAAATTAATCGCCCACCGCTCCCCTACGTAAGCAGGTACGGTATAAGGGCGCCTGCTAATATACCGTTTAATCTTTATAAGCTTATAGGCCTTATAGTCGATAGTTATTAGTCCCTTTATTTTAACCCCCTACGTCTACTCTTTTAGGTACCTAAGCGGTTTAGGGCTAGTATACCCTAGTCGTAGATACTATAAGATACCCTCTATAGTGCTTAGATAGCGTATCGTCGATTTATAGATAGCTTTTCGGGTAGAAGAAGAGCCTAGAAAAGTAGCCGCAGATTGGTTAGAGGGTATATATTTAATAACGGTTTAATCGAAGCAGTGACTTAGCTAGTATAGTATAGATCTATCGGAACGCCGAAAATAGTTATTTAGTGGCTTATAATCCTACTAGTATCCTCGAAGACGTAGGCGTTAGTTAGAGATTAAATTATAGGTAAAATCCTCGTAGTATACGACGTTTAATAGCCTAAATTCAAGGCCTCCTATTAGTCCGTTTAATCCCACGGTCACGTTATCGTAACCTTTAATAGGCAGGAATAAACTACTGGCTACTACGTAGTCCCCTTACGTGGCGGGTATAAAATTAGAAAAACGGGAAAAATTGTTAAAGATATAAATAGTGGTACCGGAATCGAGGATAGTAGAGGCTCGAAGATGGTAATTAGTAGTAGCGGTTCCTGCTATAAAGCTAGCGGCGTAGGTGACGCCGCTACGGATACTACGGACGCTGCTATAATCGAGTCACGCCTCTTTAGGCTATACTAAGTCCCGGCTTATATCCTTCTTCACCTTTTTTACGGCGCGTAGTTCTTCTACTTCCGCGCATAGCGAGGGGTCGTATTTAAGGATCCGTTAAACGGTTATTTTAATACTCTTAAAGGGTATCTAATCGTTATATACCGTATCCGGGAATAGATAGAAGTAGGCATTAATATCGTGGCTAGGTATAGCGTACACGCGGTAGATCTGCCCTTTTTATAAAGCAGATTAGCGGCGTTTAGAAGAGGAACGGTTAGCTAAAGCAGCTAAAGGTATAGCTATAGATACCGCGGTAATAGGATTCTTAGCTTTATTCTTCCCACGGCTGCCCTTCTTACAGGGCTTAGCCGTGGCCTCTAAGATATCTTTACCCTTTTCGCTTCCGGTATATAGTGCAGGGAATACTATAGCGCGGTGGCTACCGCGTTTTCCTTAGTCTTTAAGTCTAGTATTAATATACTTCTAACTAATGGTATAAAGGTCTTCGAGTATAACTACCTAATTATCTATAAAGCGACCCTCGGCCTTAGTCTAATTATAGCCGGTATAGAGGCGTATACCTCTAAAGAAATCTATAACCTATATATATATAGCGGGCTTTGAACCGGTATCTTTATAGCTTTATAGTAGTAGCTACTACTTATCTAACTACTCCCCAAGCTTTTTAAGGCTATTCGCAGGATAATAAGTATACTCGATATACTTTTCATGGATATTAGTTTAGCGGGTAGCCAGGTACTAATCCGTATCGTGTTTAACGGCTTCGTATACCTTATAAGGTATACCTCCTTATAGTAGTTATCTACGGCTTTAGTCGATAGTATTAACCTGCTAGGTTAGTATAGCGTTAATCCCCTTTAGGTAGCTATCGTATTACGTTTATAGGATCTTCTAGCGCGCGATTTCGACGTCGTACGCTTTCTAGCCAGCGTCCGTAAGGTTAAGATATTATATAGGGGTACGTCTAAGCGTTGTAGAGGGGAAAGAGTCATAATTCGGCATTATAGGCTCTTCGGGGGACTAAGTCGGATTAACTAGGTAGAGAAACCTCTACATGTTATTATAGGTAGTAACCGATTCGTATAGGCGTCGCCAGAGCTCCTAATCCTTATAGGTTTTATACGTAATAGGGCTAAGGTACGATATCTTAATAGTTATTTTATAGATTAACACGCTATATCGGCGCGGCTAGATAGCTTCTTAAATCGATAGTAGTAAAGGTAAAATAGTAGGTAAAATAGGTATATCCTCACTTAGCAAGTAAGACTCTTAATTATTAGATAAAGCGTAGTTAAAATCGTCATAAAATAGGTCAAAATTTAATTAAGGTAATTTTATACTATTATAACTCTCTTAGACCGTTAGGGAAACGCTGCCACCGTATTTTATATAGTGCAGATTCTATAAGCGTCCACCCGGATTATACTCTTAGCAATCCGGCCCATTACGTAACCGAAAAGACTGTGGTCTGTTCGACATACTCCGCAAGGTAGATCTGCAAAGTACGTACCAACCACCAACCACCAACCTCCATCGAGTGAGATCATAAAAAGGAAAAAAAAAAAATTCGAGAAAACCACAAAGAAGCCCGTCTCCTGCCACTGCCCGACTGCTCAATTTCATCACGTCAATCCCTCCAAGGCAATGTCCATTATCCTAGTCCACCCTAGCCATGGCTGATTCGGCCGGCAGGTCTTCCAAGGACAGGACAGCTGCCAGGGAGTCCCGTCCACCCCTCAACACCAGAGCCGTCCGCTCCCAGACCACCACATTCCCCGACGCCGATTCCCCCACCGATCCTCACCTACGGTCCAGACTCGATGACGATGATAGTGACGAAGAGGAAGAGGAGGAGGAGGACGACGACGACGAGGACGACGATGAGGACGGGGATGATGACGAGGATGATGATGACGACGACGAGGACGACGACGACGACGACGAGGACGACGACGACGACGACGACGACGACGAAGACAGGGAGGAGGAGCGACAACCCCCTCAGGCCCCTTCTGCGCCGCATAGCCGTGTCCGTACCCCGGGTCACGTCTCGTCCAAGAGCCAGGACCGCCGACGCGTGCCTTCCGAATTCTCCATAAGGCAACGCTCTCAATCTGCCTCCGTCTCCGTATCTGCCGCCTCCTCCGCCTCCCAACCATCCTTCCACACCGCTTCGAGGGCGACCCTTGCGTCCATCGCCGCCCCCGCCCGCAAACCCACCCCGCCGTCAATACCTACCCCCGGCAGTGGCCATGAGCCCATCAAGCGCAGCGAATCGGCCTCTGTGAGCGCCGACGGTCGTGACAAGGAGCCCCCCCGTCGACCTCACGTTATGCGCTCCACCTCCGCCATAGCAAGCAAGTCTACCGTTTTCGCGGCCTCCTCGTCGTCTACCTCTCGAGCCCAAAGTGCCGCCGCCGCCGCCGCCAACTCCAGCTCCAGACCGCGTGGCCAACATACCCTCTTCCCGCCCCTCCAGGACCCCAAGACTGCCCCAGACGTGCCTCCGGCCCCCGCTTCCGGCATGTACTGGTCGCGTGCCCCCGTCTCGGGAGCCCCGCATATATCGATGCGCGCCCATACCGTCACCCTCATCGGCTCCAACATCTACGTCTTCGGCGGCTGCGACTCGCGCACTTGCTTCAACCAGCTCTACGTTTTCGACGCCGACGCCTTTTACTGGTCCGCCCCGCACGTAGTCGGCGACATTCCCGTGCCCCTCCGCGCCATGACCGCCACCGCCGTCGGCAAGAAGCTCGTCGTGTTCGGCGGCGGCGACGGTCCCGCCTACTACAACGACGTCTACGTCCTCGACACCACCACCTTTCGCTGGACCAAGCCCCGCATCCTGGGCGAGCGGGTGCCCTCCCGCCGCCGCGCCCACACCGCCTGCCTCTACAAGAACGGCATCTACGTTTTCGGTGGTGGCGACGGCGTCCGTGCCCTCAACGACATTTGGCGTCTCGACGTAAGCGACATGAACAAGATGTCCTGGCGCCTCGTCTCGGCGCCGGAACGGGCCAAACACTCCCCGGGAGGAGGAGGAGGCAGCGGCGGCAGCGGCGGCAGCAGTGCCAAGGAGCTACGCCCCAAGGCCCGCGGCTACCACACCGCCAACATGGTCGGCAGCAAGCTCATCATCTACGGCGGCTCCGACGGCGGCGAGTGCTTCAACGACGTATGGGTCTACGACATCGAGGGCCAGTACTGGAAGCCCGTCATCATCCCCGTCACCTACCGCCGCCTCTCGCATACCGCCACCCTCGTCGGCTCCTACCTCTTCGTCATTGGCGGCCATGACGGCACCGAGTACTCCAACGACGTCCTGCTGCTGAACCTCATCAGCATGGCTTGGGACCGCAGGCGCGTCTACGGGTTGCCGCCCAGCGGTCGCGGGTACCATGGCACCGTCCTCTACGATAGCCGCCTCTTCACCATCGGGGGGTTTGACGGGGGCGAGGTTTTTGGGGATGTCTGCATCTTGGAACTGGCCGTGCACGCGTATTACTCGCAAATTTGCCATTTTTCCATCGAGGTGTGACGGTGCTATGGAAAGGGAGAAGAAAGGGCGGGAAAAGAAGTGGCGAAGGAGAAGAACGGTGTGGTATAGGCGGTTGCAAGGGGAAATATTCCTGGCCCTCTAAGGACCTGATGACCATCTGGATTATGGCGTACATTCAAATAGCAAAGCAAAAGGATGTCAATTGGCTGCAACACTCTTAAACCCAAATGTATTGTTTCTGTTCGTCTGTACATCTTTCCTCTTTTCATCAAGATTGAGACTACAGGTAATAGGTAATATTTTGTTTCGTCCCGACACACGAGATAAACCGCAAACGCCCCTAACATGCTTGTCCATCCACCAGAACGCCAAGAGCAGGGAGAGTGAGTGGCTCATCGATCTACAGGAAGTATGTGTTTTATAACGGTCGTATCGTGAGGGTGCCATGGCTTGAATGATAGCCTAGACGCCCTCCTCTGTTCTCGTCGTCTTGTCTTTTTCACTCGTTTTGAGGTACACCCTGCGCAGCAGCCCTCTTCCGCTCCTGGATGCGTCGCTCCTCGGCAGCAACCATGTCTGTTTTTGACAGTTAGTATGAACATAGAACACATCGAAAAAAAAAAGGGGGGCTCAAACTCATCAAACCCACCTTTCCACAAATCCTGGCCCTGGTAATCTTCCCTGTGGATCTTCTTCTCAATCAGCTTCTTGTGCTCAGGATCATCCGGGTCGACAACCATAACGGTCTCCCACCGGCCCTCCCCCTTCTTGGCATCCGACATCTCGAAAACGGCCGTGACGACGAGGACCGCGACGGTGAGGCCCTGGGCGTAGACACGGGCCTGGACGAGCTTCTGGGCGGCCGACATGGGCTGGCGGCTGACGATGGCGAAGGCGACGGCCATGCTGGCGATCCAGGAGCCGAAGACGATGGAGTAGCGGTTGCGGCGGCCCCACTCCATGAGGCGCGAGGAGGTGGTCTCGTGGGCGCGCAGGGTGTCGCGCGCGCGCTGGGTCTCGCCGCGGAAGTTGGCGGTCGGGTCGCGCTCGCGGCTGAAGGCGATGGAGGCGTGGTCGGCGGCCACGATGGAGCCGGCGGTCGCGACGGAGGAGAGGAGGAAGGCGCGGAAGGGGAGCGTGAGGCCCCGGAAGGCGGGGAAGCGGCGGTAGGCGAGCCAGGCGCCCGCGAGGCCGCCTGCGAGGCCTATGGCGCCGCCTTTGAAGCCCGCTCTTACGACGGAGTCGTAGTGGGCTTTTTCGTCTTCTTTGGTCAGTATCTTCATGGTTGGCGGTTTATTATTATTGTTGCTTTTTTTCTTTTTTTCTTTTCTTTTTCTTTTCTCTGTGGCAAGTGGCTGGGTCGGTTTGAGCGTCGTTTCAAAGTCGTGAGGATTTACGTAGACGCGTAAGGGATGAGAGTGCGGCGGTTCGAATGAGCACAAAGGTTGTCTGCCAGTGATTAACAAACCCTTCGGTGTCGGGATGCAGAGCGAGAAACTCGGCCGAGGCGAAGACGTTGAGGGGAGGAAGTTCGTTAGGGTTTGAGGTCGTGTGTCTGCTCGAATGTTGTCTAGGTATGTAATATCTAGAAGGAAGGAAGAGGCAACGTCGATAGGATCTAGGAGTTGTTTTCTGGGTGTCTTTTTGCTAGAAACCCAGTCAGACGGTCGTATGCGGCGAAAAGAAAAAAGGAACCGTGGTGATGGGGTCGTTACTTGTTCAACCTCAGAAAGTGGTGTCATCACAATTCCGCTTGGCTAACCATTGACGTAACATGGCCGTAGCCGGCGGGAGAGTCCGGCCAGAGTCGAGAGCAGCGTGCGACGTATCGACTCCGAGAAATTTCCGGGCAACGCGGGATTTGAGCGGATTGTACTGGTACGACCGCATATATCTGTCCAAGCCCTCTCACTCGCAAAAATGACGCCTCGTCCGGTACCATGTACATGTAAGGCAGCCCCCATTCCGGAATGAATCGGACCGTCGACTGGCCTTTCGGGCTTTGACTATAACTGTTGTCGCCCTAAACCCCGATCAAACGGCGAAAAGCGGATCACACATCGAACGACCAGCATCAAAAACCCCGTGGTTGAACTCGGTCCCATCTTATCGGCTGCTACCGTAGCGTTGTTCAACCTCAGAACATCAGGACATCCCCAGAGCATCATTCTTGGACAGGAGATAAATGGTTCACTCTCAGCTCGTCCAGACTCGCCTAGACCCTCGATTGCACGAGTGAGCTGATTTTGATTGCATGTTCGAGTGCATCTGACCTGGTACAGTTGTTCTACGTGGTCTTGAACCCTCGGCTCTTCGTCGACAATGGCGCCCTTTTTATGATCCGTAACGAAGTAATTGCGGATAGAATTGTTCGAGTTTCATTGCCCATTCGGCGTCCACTTGATCAGAGCTGCCATTAATTACCAAAGCATCCGTACGGATACCTACATAGGTATGTATAGGAACGGAACTCGGGGTGCCAATCGTCTTTCCGGGTCCACCCCTACAAACTGTCAGCTGCAGCTGAGCTGTGAAGCACCAACAGTCGGATTTGGCGACGCGAAATTCATATAAGCTCCGGGAGGGAGGGTAACATTCCTTCGAGCAAGCCTGTAATTAATGACTCGGGTACCGGCATCATCTTCTAACCAGATCCAGCCCGGCTGAAGCCGTCAGGTTTGATCCTGCAGGTGGGCGACCCTAGAACGCCAACAAAACCTACAAGTCCTATTTGGTTTTTGCCAGCCTCTCATCGTCCATGCCCACGCCACGACCACGGCGCCCGCCATCCCAGCCAAAGACGCAAATGCGAGACAAGGGGGTGGAATCACATGGGCATGGCGATCGCCATGGGTTTTTCGCGGAGCATCCCATCCCCCGCAAGCCTGGTCCTCCTCGACCTTGGCTGTCTGGCTGGCTGGCTTTCGTTCCCAGAAAAGTTGCGGACATTGAAGTCCCATCCGGAGGCGCCATGAGCGGAAATGAACGCCAAGAAACGTGACAGGGTGAACAGGGGCCGAAACGGTAAAATGCTCACGAGGTCCCCAGTGGAACCCGGAACCCTTGAAGAACGCTGAGTAATTACCCTTTGGGACGGACCCCTAATAACGAGAGACCAAAACCACACACACGAGTCCTGCGAATTCAATAATGCGAAATAAACATTCGGACCTTATTAGCCGCACCAGCGAGGGTTTCCCCGTCCCGTCCCACATCGTTCCTGACCGCCTCGCTGCCTCCCACGAGGATCTTTGCTCTTCTTTTCTCCCGCAGGTCCCTTCCTGCATATAGACCCCATGCAGGCGCCGTAGTTTCGGCGTCCCAATGCTGAAACTGATACAAGTAATTACATACCTGCTTCACGTTATTCGTACGTACTCCGTACCTACGTTGCGGACAAGTTTTTGGTCCGGCTGAGAAGGCTGAATGCGAATAGCGCGTGGCATACCCAGATTGCCGAGGATTCGGCTCGGTGGCCCCATCCACCCACGCAACGCACTGACCCCCATTATTCTGCAGCAGAGCCGCCCGCCCCAGCTTCCTCCGCGGCTGACTTGAACAGGGGCTTTCTTTCGCTTATGTCGACTCGTGCTGTTGATTCTATGTACATCACGGGCCCGTCTTACGACCGACTCCCCAAACAAGACGTAGTGCACTGATTGAAGAAAATGAGCACTTACAATGGGTACGAATGTTTCTTACGAAAAGCGTTGGCGCTTTTTGAGGTATTTAGCTGTGCGTTCCGCCATCCGGTTCTTGGCTGTGTACTCTGTGAAACGGCCCTAGAAGGCTTCTAGTAGCTCGAGCTCCGTATACAAATCCCACGCGGTTTAGTGGGTACTTGGCAGCAACGCATCCCCTTTATGGAAAGCCCATTACACTTACCACAAGCCAAATGAGCAACGTCGAACGTCGGGGGTCATCATCATGCGCCACTTAGCATCCCGTCCCCTGGCAAGGTACTTTGCAGAACCCCCTTTTGACCCTCCTCCAAGTGCTCCAATTTAGACCCCCAGGGTCCGAGTCAGTTCCTGCACGTCTCCGCCGAATCAAGTCTCTGAAAAGAGGTTCATTACTTGGTTATTACGTTTCTCGGTACGTAGGTATTCGTACTTCGTGTTGTACTAGGAGGGAAGTACCCGGAAACGCTACCATACCAGCTGGCCAAAGTATTCTTCTGCCATGTGGCCCATGTCAAGGAGTAGCTTAGGTACAACGTCGTCCTACACGTACATACCTTATGAAGCGAACAGGCACGGGAAGGAAGTAACCGCATTCTAGCAGCGCCTACCTTGGCCTCAACAAGGCCACCCCCAGTAAGAGACCGTGTACTATCCTATCCGTACATACATGTAGCGTGGCGTGGCGCGCATCCAGCGCTTGGCTGCTGTCTCTCTCACCACTGAACTTTGGTTTATCCATCCGTGCGCGGACGCCTCGCTGCAGTCTCCCGCCCGCTGCCAGATCACCACGCCCTATTCGCTGAAACCCGGTTGGCGGGCGCTGCGTTCACTTGGAGAGAGGGTTCGGAAGAGCAGAGCGAGCTGCCCATCCCCCAAGTTACTGTCCTAGGTACCATCGCAATGTACGGAGTACATGGTATCATTATATCATTACCAGCCACCATCTCGTCTCCGCCTGCGGATTGGGGGGGGCTAATGCAAGACATGACATCGGTTCCACGCTAGGTCCTGTTTGATATGGAGAGATCCTAGTTCGTTAAGCATGCACTGCACAGAGGACGTCTCCGCATTGTATTATAGGTACTGTCGTCTCTCGTGTGATGCCAAACATTGTGGCTGCAGACCTGACAGTCAGATGCTGCGCTGCGTTGGGCGTAGGTACGTTATGCTCTGTACATATTTCGAGGTCCTAAAGTCTCACCGCCTTTCAAAATAAAGCCCCCTCGTATCCCGAATCTGAACCCCCCCTTTTCAGGCGAAGGGGAATGCTCACCGCTCGCTTTCTGCCGGTTTGTCCCGCCTCCAAAGTGTATTGTTGACGCCCCAAACTTCAGAGAAGGCATAATCTCGACAACAGAGCTATAACCATTCGGACAGCGGTACGGAGTAGAAACTATACCGCCAGGCCTCTCCGTCTCGCTTGGTCTATCCGTCATTGTTTCGGTTGCTATTCGGAACTATCCACACGACCTCGTCATCAGTGGCTCATTCGCCGATGATCGCAAAACGTAGCATAGGCCGTCGTTGGTGATCAGCGACCGACCATCACGTCCAGTGGATTCCCTCTCCGGGGGAAGCAGGCCGTCAACTGGGAGATACGGAAGACTAAGAGGGAGGGGTCCGTTCCTTGAGATTATCCAGAACGGCGTATCCATCGACTCTGTTATCTGTCCAGCGACAGGATTCTCTTTCCCTTCATAGAATAGTTGTCTATCAGATGCGACGTCCGCCGATACCACTAACCCGAATAACCTAGGTGCAAAGCGTTATCTTCCTTCCCCATCTACTCCGTCACTTTGCCGATGACTTTTGATACGCTTACTGTGTTGGCAGCAGGTTTTGAGGACTCAGTTGGTATTGATTCCGTCTGGGGGGCTCCAGAACGATCTTCTACCCTGCCTCCTGAAATGGCAACACGACACCGTGGGGGTTGCCCAAGAAGTCCCCTAAGGACCAGGTTGAGACGCTGACGACAGAGCTGCAAACCCAGGCGCCATAAGTTGTTCGGAAAGGTTCGTGGCTCAATGTGGGTTTCCACAGTATTGGACGTTTGGACAAAGGAAAAAAAAATAAAAAAAGGAACAAAGAAATAAAAAGAAAAGGCAGAAAAAAAGAGAGAACGGCGAAAGCTCCACTGGTCAGATTTAACAGGCATGCCTAAAGCAGTAAAGCCAGCGAATGTCTCTCTGCTAAACACGCAGCTTTCCGTAACCATAAAGCCAAAGGCCTTCCAATGAAGTGTCCGAAGAGGGCTAATTGTCATGACGATAATGGGATGATTCCCTGCTAACTGGTGTCCGGGCGAATATGTTGTATCTACGGGGCTTGGATGGGCTACTTCATAGGCCGGGGGTTCAAATGTGGGCCCCGGTTCAGGGGGATGCCGGCTGGGATCCGCCCCGAGTGACCCCGTGGAATTATTACCGGGCTGTCATTCATTTGTCGGGGTTGGGGTGCTATCGTTAGCCCGTCAGGGAGTCACCATGTTTGGTGAACGGTCAGCGCCCACTTTTTGTTGCAAGACTCGAATCTCACGAGATTACTCCGTACCTCGCAACTCTGACCATATCCGGGCCTCAAGCATGATTCACAACTTGCCATAGCCGTACTTGTAAATGCCACCACAAGAGGCCTCACATCAGACACCAGAAATGTCAATGTCAATGTACGTTGTACGTAGAACTCGGACTTTACGTTCAGGCGATACGATTGTATGTACAAGTTCCCTCGGGGGTTGAGAGTCAAAAAAAAGGTGGGTGGGAGGTGCCGTCCACCACTAGTGGATGCCAGCATGAGTCAAGGCGCACCAACCCACCCACATCTGCACTTACCCAAGCCGAGTTGGGTGGAAACGGGCTTGGCTGCTATTAAAAGGTTTCAACACCTGTTTACCAAAGCAGCGGCACAGTGGGCCGCCCTCGAACAGGTTGCGAGCGTTTCGGTGGAGATGGCCACTCATCCGTTCATTCCCCCGTCCGTTCCAACATCATGTACGTTTGAATGCATTCGCGCAGTATCCTGATCTGGTCTCCGACAGTGGAGAGGTCATGCACAGCCTGGAGGGGCCACACTGGGTATAGCAGTATCTGGGTTGTACTCTGTATGATGGGTATGATGGTCGGCGGGGTGACGACATGTTGACAAAACCACAGATCTGCGAAATCGCGATCGCAACTCTTGTCGTCACACCCTTTCTATCGGATGAGCGGATACTACTCGTTTTCTAGGTTCTTCAGTTGGGGAAAACCTCACTTTCGCTTCTTGCGCGTAATGAGACAATGATGCGGGGAGGGATGAGCATTGCATCGCCTTGATGAGACAAGCGTGTCTGGCCTTTCTTGTTCGGTTCATGGTCTCGCCCGTCGCCTAGTCGTCACACAACAGGCAATACGTTGTAGGCAACAGACAACAGGGCGCGCATCTCGGACATTGCCCCGGTTCGATGATCTTATCGCCTTTGTCACACGTTTCACTGGCTGACATAGATTCGTACGAAGTACGTTCGAATAGGGATGCATGGGATGCATCCGTTCGAGCGAGCGTTGGGAGATGGAGTATGCGGGGAGCAGAGCCGAAGTGCCGCATTTGGACGACATTATTCGTGAAGCCATCCAACAAGTCATGGCCATGGTAGTTCGTGCTTGCGATTTGTGTTGGCGGCTACAAGAGTTAAAGGGCTTCGGGAGCCCGCACTGCAGCGGCTTGACACTTTACAGTGTTCGGCAAGGCCTCTTGATTCATTCCACATTTATTCACATGTGCAATCGAGTCGCAAACCCCAACCGGGTCCCAACTCTGATCCCGACCTGCTCATTACGGAGTACGTAAGGCTATATATAATTTGGGGACTGGGTCGTCAAAACGGCGATGGGGACTGTACGCTCTTTCACGTTGGGCTGTCATGTCGAGCCGGCTAAGAGGTACCCGGTCAGACCATATGTGGGACCGGTCACTAGGCGGATAGACTGTACTGTACTATGTACTGTAAGTCTGCCGTGTATGTATCCCGCGGACGTATGTATCTGGGAAGGGTTCATATGGAAATGCATGCTTTTGTCCTCGGTGCGCTGTAATTACGAAGTATTCGTAATAATTACTCCCTAATGGCAGGGGAAATGACGGCCTCCGGAGTACTTCTACCAACCCTGTCCACATGGATTTATGGATTTCGATGATCCTGAACCCCCTGAACACCCTTATGTACAACGTGCACCCAGTGAGCGAAGTTACTTCATCCCCAAACATAGCAACGAAGGTACGTACGTTGTACAACCACGGGACCAAACAGGAGGGGGGGTGAAATCGCCTCGACTTGACTCGATCCATTTCATCTCGCATCTCATTTATTATGTAGGAAGTCGTGGGTGGTATGGAGATGGTGAGGCCTTGGCTCTTTCATGTCCATCCCATCTGACCGTGGGAATAAGAAACAAACAATACCTTGATTAATGATTTATACATATTGCATCCAGGACCTCCCCATCTCTCGTTCTCCCCTTTCTTCCCCTATCCATGTTCAACATACAACGTACAACGTACATACTCTAAAGAACGGCTTCACGCCCAGGACATCGTCAACCCTTTTTGACTTGATTATTTGTCCTCCTAGAGTGCGGGTATTCGCGGTCCTTTCCGGGAAAGTCTCAGCTATATTTTCTCGACGAAGGGATTGGGGATCTCTCCTTATCTTGCTTACACCCACCATCTCTTTTGGAGTGGACGGCAAACGCACACCCACAACATCAATATCGTCATCCGTTATTGTCCCGTCCTCAAAGGCCGGATCAACCTCTTCGCTCCGGACGGCGTACACTCATCTAATGGAGTTTTCGGCATCAAGTCATCTGTATTTCGTTCCCGAGTAGGAAAATCCTCCGCGTTCCACTGCTTCACCGATAGAACGAAACCCCGGCCTCCGAACTCATTGCCGCGGCTCTTTTCCTTTGACCTCCTGGCCCATCGGATACAACTGACGGACGTTTGCGCCTGTTCCCCCTCTCCTGCTACCAGTCAGCGCCTCCAAATACATATAAGCTCCGCGGAGGCTTAACGCCGACCTACCCTACCGAACACGCCGTCGCCACGCACCAGACATTCGACAACAGAGCTTATTCATTTAGCGACCATCTTTACGCTTTCCCACCTTTCTCTCCTCGACGTCACAAAGCATTTCATTAATCCTCCCTTTGCGATCCGCAGTCGCAAAACGTCAAAAAGCGGTGCGGTACTCTACAACGTACCACTTCGACGAACTGAAGCCGTACCTTCACACAAAGGTACCTACTCTCGCTTCACTGTAATCTCACTTGGGGAAGTTTGGCTTGGAAGGTGCATAAGGAGTAGCACCTTCCGTGCACTACTAGTACCTATAGTTGCACCCCCCTTACTCGAGCAAGCAACCACCTGCACTCGGTCGAGGGCCCCACAACGCAACCGGCTCTTTCCACCTTTCCCAGCAATTCCACTAGGAGGACCACCCCCCCCCCCCCCCTTCTCTTTCTTTGACGCACGATCCATTAGCACGGGCTCCACAGTTAGGTAACCGTCATGAAGAGTGCCCTTCGGTGGTTCACCCCATCCCCAACGAGTACCGAGGGCTCAAAAGACCGTGACCCATCCAGTCGGTCCGCCACTGCCGCCGCTCTTTCCCAGTCACGTAGTGAGGAGGCCACACCCTTCCCACGCAGGTCCCCTGCTTCCGTCTCTACCACCAACACCAACGCTGTCCGCAGCGATCATTCTTCGCCCTTCTCGCGCTTCTCCGACAACCATCACCATCAGATTAATACCAACAACCCCGCTTTCTCGTCGCCGTCGCCGGAAGCCTCTCATTCGGTTTCCCTCACACCCAGCTCCCCCCAGCCAGCAACCCCAACCGATGGGGATTTATTAGATCGCGACGCCGCTTTCTCGTCCTCCAAGCCCATCACCATCGGCGCCGGACATCTCGCTGGTGGCAACACCTCTTCGTCCCGCCGTTACCCCGCCATCGCTGCGTCGCCTTCCTTTGCGCCGGCCATCGAGTCTGCTAGCTTCGACGCTCGCGACCCCTTTGGCATTCCCGAGGATCAATTCGACTCCTCTCGCGCGTTCCCATCCCGCTCGATCGACATTGACATGACCACCGGGCCCTCCATGGATTCGACCATGAGCCGCCCCCGCCAGGACTCCTTCGTGAGCGCCGGCCCGAAACCCATATCCATGAATAATGCGAACCGCGATCATGTCAGCCGGCAGCGCAGAGAATCTCTTGCGGGAAGCCTCATGGGAGGCGCAAGTTGGAGTGGCATGTCACTTGGCAGTTTCATTCGCGATGAGTAAGTTTTCCCTTCCCCCGTCGTATTTCGTCGTCCACCATCTCATACTCGTTCATCGTTGAATCGCGCCCGAGGATGCCGATTTTCTGCGTCTTTTTTTTTTCTTCTTTTCTATTCTTTTTTCCTTTTCTTTAAATTTTTTTTTCTTTTTTGAGATGGCTGTTCAGCGTGCGACCCGAGACCGTTCTAGTAGGGCCTTGGCGGCGCATCCTGTCCAAGTGCCCCTCTTCCCCTCCACTTCCCACCCCTCAACTCGCATGGGATGCGACGTTTCGTCAGCTCGTTCAAGTACTTCCGGTGGCTAATCGCAGAATTCTCTCTTTCTAGTATAGTCATGGCGGGCACCTCGCCCTTTACCCACCAACAGTCGCCCAGTCTCCACTCGTCATCCTACCTGCCCAAATTCGAAGCGAACTTCATGAGGGACTTCACCTGCTGCGGACTGACCTTGTCTAACCTGCACGATCTCCTGCAGCACTATGAAGAAGCTCACATGCAACCGAGTCCCAACACGTCGCGGGGAACTGGACCTTTCGCCTCGCAGTTCTTCCCTCTCTCCCCGCCCTCCGGCTCGCAAGATGCCTCTCGCCGCATGGGTTCCACTTCCAGTGGCGGCCAGCAGAACACGAATGCCAAGATTGCTCCGTCGCGACCAAGCCCCGGCATGTCGAATGCTGGCATGGCGAGCATGGGCCCGGGATTGAGCCAGCAGCCGGGCTCTCAATCGCACAATCAGATGTCCTCTCATATGGACGAGATGGACACTGTCGGAGATATGGAGATGGATGACGCAGTAGGGCACATGGAGATGGATGACGACAGCAATAGGACAATGCAGCAGGCGCGGCAGATGTTCGGCCAGCAACAACGGCCGCAATTGCAGGTCAACGCCTCGGGCATCACGCAAGGCCTCCGGACATCACAGCCGACTACCCCGGCCGCCGGCGGCGCCTATGGCTTCCAGCACAATCCCACCGTCTCGTCTGTTAACACGCCCACTCTCTCTACGCACCAGACTCCCCGAACTAGCTCCGATTTCCAGTCGAGCCAGATGGACGACGATTTACCAGGCATGCCGATGGGCGGTGGAAATATGGGGCTCAACGGCGCCAACTTCGGCGCCAATGGCTTCGGCACCGGAAACAGCAGTAGCAATGGCGGCAGTGCCACCAACTCGGAGTACTGCATCAATGACCCTGGCAAGCATCTGTCCAGCCCTGGAAATGCCTTGACCCCTCAACAACGCGCACTGCAGGCACAGTTGATCAATTTGGGCTTTGATACCTCTCAGCCAAACAGTCCTGCCAATGCTGCCCTGCTCCAGAAGTTTACAGCAATGATGCAGAACGAGGAGCAGAAGCCATATAAGTGCCCCGTGATAGGATGCGAGAAGGCTTATAAAAACCAAAACGGCCTAAAGTGAGTTCCTCTCCCCCCCCCCCCCATCCTACTATTGAGTGGCCGTTTCGCCATGACCGCTAACTAGTCCCCCTCCTTAGGTATCATAAGCAACATGGTCACCAGACGCAGCAGCTGCACGCCAACGAGGATGGATCATTCTCCATTGTCAACCCCGAGACCGACGCGCCTTATCCTGGTACTTTAGGAATGGAAAAGGAGAAGCCATTTTCCTGCGACGTGTGTGGAAAACGATATAAGAATCTCAATGGTCTCAAATACGTAAGCTTAGCGACTGATAGTGTCAAAGAGGGGTGAAGAAGAAGCTAACTTGAGGTCCTACAGCACAAGAGCCACTCAGCACCTTGCAATCCGGATTTCAAGCTGATTGCAGCCGGTCTTAACCTTCCAGGTGGATTAGGCGGGTTACTTGAGAACCATTTCACCAACCTCCCAGGCATTGGTGAGGATCAGCAGATGATGTGATCATCGGTGTTCTATTCTCTACCGACTCGGCAGTCGTCTTTGGTCTTTTTATAGGCCAAGGACAGCCTTCCCGTCGCTCTCAGGTTTTCTGTCATGAAAAGCATCTGCATTACCGATTTTTAATCTCGGTTTTATCATCGGAAATGTCTCTCCTCTCCACCACTTTTTAGACCAGGAAAAGCGGTCTTTTGCATCACATGGCGTTTATGGTATTGTTGTTCTACGGAAAGATGCCACAGCCCAGCGCTCTTCGGCATCGTCTCTTCTGCCCAGCAACCTGAATTTATTCGCCCTTTTTTGTTTTTATACCCCAATAGATCGGCCGGCGCCATTCGATGACTTGGGGATACGCACGAAGAAAGGCTTTCCGTTTCCGCCCCCTTCAGATACAACCTTCATTTACCCCCGCTTAGACCTACCTAATACAGCCCGTGCGAAAAAGCGGACGACACCAAGACGGCACTAGACGATGCGCATCCGGGGGGATATGATAGGGGATATGATACTTGATCGGGGGCACAGGAAAAGAACAGCGGAAAGGGCGTTTTGTCTGAGTTTCTTCTCCTTTTGGTTTTTGACATGATCTCAAAATGCATGTCTGTTTTTTTTTTTTTTTTTTCTCTTTCTCTTTTCTTTCTCATGGCGGAAAACAAAAGTACGGAAAAGGATGAAGTATGTGCAGCGATGTGTTGCATAGATGGCTTTATCTTGGCTTCCTGGATGTGGTTAACGAAGCGAAGAGGAAAAAGGGTATAGCCCCTCACGATGGATGGCTGATGCGGGAGGCTGATACAGGAGGCTTGTCTGCCTTTTGTTGTTTGAGGCTTTGGCTGCGCGCTTTCCCCATGGGACGATGCTTTGATGCATTCACGACAGACAGGTGGCAGCGGGCACCTCTTTTGTTTTTTGCATCACCACCCTTTTACCTCTCGGTCAAAATGGGGTGGCAGAGTGGTGGTTGCTTTGGTTCTTTGCCTTTGGCCTGTTCTTGGGGTCTTGCTGATCAGTTTGCTCCAGATTGAGCAACACAAGCTTTCTGTCTTTGGCCTCTTCTTTTTTTTGTTCTTTTGTTTTTCTGTCTCGGTCGGCGTTTACTAAGAAACCAAAAGTGTAGGGAGGTTCCGGAAAAGTCAAGTCACCCAACCAGTGGTCTAAGTCTACCTTGGTTCAGTCGGAATATAGACATCGGTTCTGCCGCGCTTGCTAGTGATGTTCGTGATGTTTTCCCTTGCTCTACTTTCCTTCCCGCCCCTTCATTTAACAAGTACCATGGCGCAGTCGGCGAAGTACGAAGCACAGCACCGGTATTACCTAAGGTAAGGTAGGCAGCCCCATCGCCACTCGGAGGTACACGTGTAATGTCCGGACCTTTATCTCCACTCGTTCGTCTCGATATCGGTGCCTGATTACGTGTACGGCGAGTTGTAACCGATTGTTCCCGTAAAGGTACACCACTTTCCCATGTGGCCAATATTATCCGTACGAATGAAGACGAGTTGCCACGATTCAAACGTGAGGACTTAGCAAGAGGACAGGGATGTTGGCGATAACCCCCCGTTTGCCATCGTTGAGAAGACCCAGAAGTCCTTCCGGGCGGTGGGGCCGTGGACGGACGTAAGCAGCCTTCTCAGGGGTTATATCCAAGTATTACGTATACGTAGATACATCCGTGGTGATGTCCAAGGTACAGAAGTAGTTGACCTCGTAGCTTGACCTCGTAGCTGCATCACCCCCGCCCCGGGCCCGGGAACATGAACCCCCCTCCCCCCTTTCCCTTGTTATCCTCATAACGATGATCAGGACGGGGACGGAAGGCAGAAGAAATTCGATCGGCATTCATCTGAAAACCACGGAGATTATGTTGTCATGGAGCAGAAGAGAATGTATGTCGTCATAGCTCTTATCTTTATCTGGAAGGCTGGGGCTGAAGGGTTACTTTGCAGTCAGAAAGGAGCTTGGAAAAGGCTGGGCGTGATGATAATTAAGTGTAATACTTGGCAAGAATGATATTGATCAACCCGGGGCGAATCAGGTCAATCGGTCCAGAGGATGATCATCATGCCTCGTACTCCATCTGGGGAAGACGGGGCCGATGATGACGGGGAACTTGCTCTTCTTACTCTTGGTATACCCAAGTCAGAGATGCTGATTCTACACGTACAAGTTCATCCCAGGAACGGGCCAGGGCCTTCAAATTCGTGGTTGAATCGTTCGGTTTTTTTTTTTTCATCGTAATACTATCTGACCGCGCGCCGGGGTAAATCTAGAAATACACGATAGGAGAGAGAGGAGGCAGAGAACACCAGTGAGAGAAAACGTAAGTAACTGTCTGTCGGAAGGAAAAGCCAAAACACCTTGCGATGCAAACCAAAGTCATCCATCGTGCCGAGAGGGGGATAAGGAAGAAGAAGGAAGGACAATAAAAAGAAAGAAACTGAAAGGATGCTGCCCGGGAAAGACTTTTCCTTTGGAGGGCCAAGCAAAAAGGGGGGTGACGTCCTCGGGGAAGCATGTATCGTAATATTCCTCATCGCCCATGCATGCCGATCGTGAGACGATAGGGAGAGAGAGGCCGTCAATCATCATCAAATATTCCGTGTGTTCACCCCTTTTTTTTTT